CGACCGATGCAATTATGTGTATACGTGTTTCGCAATCGTGACGCTTTCACGAGCACGCGCCGCACACCTTCACCCCGCGTTATCGTCTACGCGGTGAAAATGTGCTATCTGGAGGAGACTGCATTGCAAAATAATAATCGTTTAAAGGCTCGTTCAGCCGTGTCGAAACATCCTCTTCGACGCCACAGTGGAACAAGTAGCCTATTTAAGTGGACAGAACCCTTTAAGGTAGCTTCCGCGTTTGGTATCTTATCTAGCTGGAGCTCCAAATGGCGCTTTATACTTTTTATCAATTTTACCAATTTAATTTGAATGATTAACATTTCAAACTACTTCAACATACTTAAATGGAAAAAAAAAATATACAAATAAGTGGAAGAAAAACAAAAATTGTTTTTCTTATTGTAAAAGAATTCTATTTTCTTTTTATTTTTAAGAAACAATTGAAAAGTTCGTCAAACAAACCAAAGGAAAATAAGCGACGATGCCGCTCATAGCAGATATGCGTAGAAGATGCTACCAAACGCATTGAAACCTAAATTTACATACTTTGATCTTAATGTTTAGTTTTATTTGATCGTTAACATATCTTGTTTCCGTGCCATCATAATCTCCGTAAAAAATCTATAAACACCTCATTTTGTTATGAAAATATCATTTTTGTAGTTAAATAAGAAGTGATTAATTTCTCAGCTTCAACTACAGTTCCATAAAGCTCGTGTCAAGATGAAATTTTTATAACGGTTCTTTTTCAATAATTTCTTTACATCATTTTTGCACGATTGTTGAAATGTCTTTCGTTAACAATATATTTTAAAGCCAACTGCTGCTGTCTGCTATTTCTGCCATAATGGGACAAATAACATACCTGTACCAAGGTGGACAAAAATCTAAAAACAGTCTACATCCAACATTTTCCTTTCTTTTTATTAATTTATATGGCATAAGGTAAAATATATTAAAATTAGTAAAACAAGACATAATATGTAACCATCCATCACTTGATGAATACGTGAGGAAAAAATAAAACATCCAAATCTATTAGATTATCCAATTATATCCATCATATAAAAGTTAAAAATTATCAAAACAAAACAAAATATGATATTAAATTTATTTCAATATGTTGAAACATATTATACAGTACCTATATATGTTTTATCATCATTTATTTGTATATATTATATCCTGTTTTATTAATTTTAATATATTTTACGTTAGACAGTACGTAAATTAATAAAAAAAAAAGAAGCAATAATTCGATGTAGACTACTTTTAGGCTATTGTCCAGCTAGATACGCTATTCGTCCCAGTGTGCGACATACTCGCCAATATCGATCTCTGGCGCCTGGTCCTCTCTTCCGTGACAATGATTTCGCGTAGGTAACAATAATAACCATGCTACGGTCGCACACCCGATGATGATGATTCGTCCGATGGACACGGTCGTTTCGTTAGAATTCGAAAGCGCTCGCGTTGTTTGCGCGGACCATTTCGAGAGAACGTTCCTGTTTCTGGCCAGATATGGCCGGCGCATGTAGGCGAAAGAAACTGCGCCGCTAGAAAGGTAATAGAGGAGAAGCCGTGCGATTGGGTTGTACCAATGAATAGTCGATTATTTTGTAGTATTTATCGCACCCCACGCAAATATCTGGTTAATGTCCAACCTCCTTTCTTACAAAAGAATTTTGATACCCTAAAGATTCCAATTATTTGAACTCAGATTTGTACGGGACATCGATAGAAGCAAGGCAAGTTTTCGTGTTTGCTGATAAACGTTTAGAGTCTTAGACTTTTTATATTTTCAAATTAGAACTTCTATATATTTGTTATAGTTTTTGTAATACAAAAAGTGAGCGCCCCTTGGAGTCTTAAAATAGGCTTCCTCTAAAGATTAAAAGTTAATGTGTCTTCCCCTATTTTCCTGTGGATCTTGAAAACTATAGTAGATATCAAAAATCTGTTAGAATAAAAATTTAATAGCTTTTTATGTTCTATAAAACTGTTCAATGAAATTGTTAAAAGTTCGTTTTTTAAATAAAACAATAAATAAACAAATGTTTAACAATTTCATTGCACGATTTTATGGAACATAAGAAGCTATTAAATTTTCAATAGTACAGTTTTTTTATATTTATTATTATAGCTTTCAAGATATTCAGGAAAATAGGGGAAGACACATTAACCTTTAAGGGGTGGTTTCACCCTAAAGGAACCGAATATCAGCAAATACGAAAAATTGCCCGATGCTTCTATTGACGTCACCTACAAACCCGCGGAGTTGAAAAGAAATCGGAATTTTCGGGGTACCAAGTTCTCATGTAAGTAAAAATTCTTATATACATAAAATACTTAAAAAATTCGATTCTATTGTTCATGGTAGCGATGCTTCATTTATTTCAATTATATAAACATACAACTATTTTCCTAATTCTAGGGGGGTACAATTTAGCGAAATTAGCTACCAAGTGGTACGTTAGTCAAAAATGGTTGGGACCTGCTGCTCTAACAGTTAGAGTTTAACTATATTTTATACAGTCTGTTGCTTCGATGTAAAGGTTCTTCATCAGAAGACTACTCGAATGCATACCCTGCATGTTTCGTTACTCATTCCCAGTCCCAAAATTGTTACCCACTAGCCAGTCATTAACACGCTTAATTACTGTAGGTTTATTATTCTCCTGTATTGGTCACGGTGACAACGAACATCGTGTCAAAACTAATCATGCGATGGGTCTCGATTTCAACCAGAGTTCGCGAATGTTCCATCGAGTTAGAGAGAGAAAGAGAAGTGTAAGAAGTCTTTCGCAGCTATTAGATCTGACCGAGTCGAGACTCACGTTTCACGACACACCAAAGCGACCCGGATTGTTACACGTAAGGGGGCGGCTACGTCGGGATAATTGCGTGTTACTGGCTGGTTCTCTGGTTCCACTCTTCGCCGGTAATTTAAGGGGTCATGCTCAGTCAGAAATTTTCAAAAAATCAATTTTTCACTTTCTACATTTTCTGTAAGTACATCACAAGAATATTCTGTGCAAGTTTCAAGGTAATCCAATTAGAAATGACAGAGTTACAGGCGTTAAAAAATGAACATTTTATATAAGTGTAAGCTTCACTTGAAACTTTAAACGCGTTTTTCTCGAAACTACATTTTTCAAATCGGTGATCAATATTTCTCGAAAACTACTGTGTCGATTTATATGAAGCCTTTTGCGCCTTATTTCGAATTAGAAAAACTTGTCCTTGAACGAAGTTCTTTTGTTCGTTCCATACTTTTTTTTAATTAATCAAAAACGAGTGATTTTTAGGTGAAAATCGCACTTTTTCAGGAAAACGTCCGCTATTTTATTCCTAATCAATATTTCAAAAAACCCCACGTTCAAGGACAAGATTGGTTCTTCCATTACATAAATCTTACTGAATTTTTAATTTCAGATGAACCGTTACGAAGTTACAGTGATCACGGCAGACCACTTTTTGTGAAGAGACATCCGGGAGATCGCTCACCATTTATTTACTAATAAATATTTTTAAATAAAAAAATTACCTTATAATCTAGAAACTGCAATCTTTGAAACACAAACACATTTTTTGAAAAAGGTCTTATAGTTTTCGAGAAAAAAATTCCCAAAGAACACACTTTTTTCGGCCTCCTGACTGAGCATGACCCCTTAAAAAGCTTTCTTCCGCCGTTTGAAGAACGTCTTGGCGTGAGAATAAAAAAAAAAAGGAACCGAAAGAAATAACCCGCGCGCAACCTGTACAACAAAGACCTATCCAGAAGAGAAAGTGTTGACCTCGATGAAATCGAGGCTTCGATGAGGTCCCCGAGACTCGTTATCAACGCTTATCGAGGTCAGAATGATTCGTTTTCGATGCGCGTGTGGTGATGTTCACGATACTGTGTACGATTTGCGTAATTTGATCGACGATGATTGATATTCATTGACGTTCTTCTTAATATTGCAATTAACTCTCTAACGGTGGAATCTTGTTTTGGAAATGTGTATGTATGTGCGTAATGAAAATCAACCGATGACGAGTATATTCGTCAAACGTGCAGAGTAAATGTACTTACTATAAATTTGAATTAAATTGAACGAAAAAATGGCAAATACTACTAGTGTATTCAAGAACCAATTATTTAATTGTTCCAAAATTTATTAGTGGAACAAGTATAATATTATTAATACAAACTTAAAAAATTTGTAATTAACCGTTATAGTATTTTATAAGCTTAAAAATTTTTTTCTTGTAAATGAAAATATTGTCATGTTTTTTTTAAATTTCTTATTCCCATCCAGTAAACGAACGTATTTTATAAAAATAAAGTGTCATTATATGTGTTTAAATGATATTAGAAATTGGAATGCTGATATATCGGCTAAAAAGTATTTTTCGGAAAACCCACAAAACCGACATATTGGCTGTAAGGTACTAAATAAAAGGGTAAAAGAAAATAGGAAAATTTCACATACATGAAAATCTTACATCATTTGATTCCTTAATTCTGATAAAAGAAATATATTTTTCAATTTTTATGCGGAAAGGTAATTTATTTTTTCACGTGACGAGTATACTCGTCACTACCCAGAAAGTGGTAATTACCCCATGACGAGTATACTCGTCAAACACCGTTAAAGGGTTAGAAAGTTTACAATGGTTACACTCTGTTGCGAGAAGTGTAACACTGATATAAAGGGCGAACGAAAAGTAGTGTGCAGGCGAAGCACGTAGAAGTACTGTTAATTTCTCACCCTCCGTTTATGGCTGGTTATAAATATTAATTAGGTAACGTAATACGTTGATCCAGTTTGCACCTGTGATAGGTGCCACGAGGGAATATTAATCGGGATAAAATGAGGCGAACGGTTACTTAATTGTTACGTTAACTGTTACACGTCTGTATGCAAGAAACTCTACCTTCGATAACGTAGACTTGTAGACTAACGCTATGCTTATTACCCTCGTAATTAATCGCAGGTTTATCGTTACAGGACGTAATGAGCGAGTACGAACGGATCAAGCGTTCGTGCTTGAAACGAGGTGAACTCTGGGAGGATCCCGAATTTCCGGCCACCCAGACGTCTGTATTCTATCACCAGACACCGCCGTTTCAGTTCCAATGGAAACGACCGAAGGTGAGTTAGCAAAATTTTAGTTGATTTTATAGAGTGATCTACAAGTAATCGTTAATGATAAATAGCGTAGTGTAACGGATGAAGATAAAGATCCTAGAGTCATAAAGTCTAGCAAATATAGAGCCGATAGTGGTCTCCAAACAATCGATACCAACGATTATGGACATAAATTCGTAGATAGCAACGAAGAAACTCGAGAAACCTGATAACTATTCTAGAAGTAGGGCTACCGATAATAATTAGGTTCGTGGAACAGAATATTAGCGAAATCGGATTAGCGGAACTTAAGTAATAACGACGACCTCGATTTTGTAGAACACAACACTGATAACTAGATTGTGGATTTTATGCATTTGTCGTAAATGTGAACGTGCAGAATAAAATACAGTAAAAGTGTTTGTAAAGACTGGTATAAATCTTGCTTTATGTTGGTCCTAGATATCTCCAACAGAAGGAATAAATCTCTGATATAATTTCAGTATGGAAAATTAATCTAAAGAATCTGAATCTGCATAAGAATCCGCAATCTACTAATAATAGTCAGTTTTAAGTGTGTAGGATCTTATAGAAGTTATCTAAAGGTTAGCTAATTTCGAGATTTTTAGTTGACCACATATAGGTGATCCGACAATGAAAATATTAATACAAGAAACTAAAGATAAGAAAAACATTTCGTGAAAATGTTAATAAAAGAACACAGAAGTAAGTTAAATATTTTTAAAAGTGGTTGAAGAAGCTTTTAAATGAATTACATTAAAAAGATCCTTATTGACTTTCCATGAACGTTGTCTGATACGTGAACTAGGTGACGACGCTTACGCGGTTTATTCGCAACGGTTTGCTCTAGTTCCTACAGAAAGGAAGGGCGAGGAATCTAAAGCCTAGGAACCGTAACGGAAACAGTATGCAACCTTGACACGTAGACTGTGTCTTTGTCATCCTCGCGTTTATGATCGCATGACAGCGGCTTTGTTCAACGAGACCCAACTAACGGATCCCTTTTCCATAGAAATCATGTTGCGTAACGATTAATTAAAACACTCGATCTGTAATACCACCAATTTATCTATCTTTTGTACTAACTGATCTCCACTAAATTAGGGTAAATTCTCCAAGTGAAAATAAATGCTTCTATATTTTACTCTTTTCAACGTATACATAAACACTATTCGTAAAAATGATTGCATCACTTGTGCGGTAGTGAAAAATTGTCGAACTTCAATGTTCCATAACTTATTTTTATGAATATTAACAAAATTATGGAACATCGAAGTTCTACAGTTTTTCACTAGTGTACTAGCGATGCAATAATTTTTGCTTGAGTGTAACAAATTCTTCTTATTTATTTGGTTGCTGCTAAAGTTCTGATCCTTTCAAAGATACATTGGATAGCAATTTAATTTCATTAAAAAACAATTAATGATCTGTGTTACGCTATACAGGGTGCTTCAAAAAAATGTTATCACCTGTATGAAAGTAATTTTTTTAAAGAAAAAAGAAAGTTTGTACATATATAAATTCTCGGTAAAAGTGTTAACATTTTTTTTTATGCATCGTGTATTTATGAACTAGATTCTATACTCCGTAAATATTAGGTGTGCCAATAAGTAGGCCACTATTTCCCGTGAAATTCTATATCAGTTCCACGATAATTCAAATCCCTATGCTATCCTAACAATAAACTAGATTTGTCTCCAACATCCTTCGCCATTTTTACGAAACAGAAGATTGGAAAGGTATTCTAAATTTAAGCCCTATTGTCACTATGTCGAAACCATGGTGAATTACTGGTTGGTATATCTAATAGTAAATGGAAACTCGGTTTCGTAGTGTAGGTTGTAATATATGTATTAGACACCTTTCTTTGAAAATTTAATGGGCAAAATGTCGTAGTATTGTAATGTTTGTGGCTGTAAGAAACAACGCTACGTGCCATACACTACAAAAATGTGTGTTTATGCATTAATTGAGCTGTAAAACATATGATTTCTATTTTTAATAGAAACAAATGCATGAAATAAAATTTTATACGATTACAAAAGTAAGGTCAATGTCCCTATTTCTAATCACGTCCTGATTTCTGTTCAGTACGTTTATTTTTTATTTAATGTAAAAATTTAACTTTTGAATGCACATTCAGATCTGTGCTACACCATGTATGCAAGACCAGAAGAATCTATTACATATGTATAATACTCATAGATTCGAAAAACTACACGATACTAATATTTTATTTCGTAATTTAAAATACGTAACCACATGGCAACAGTAAAAACGAAATGGTTAAGTGGTTAAACTACTTAGACTATAACTTATTTTGTATAAAATCGAACGAACAGAATTCAAGTCCATATTTTTATTTTACCAAAAATAGTAGACTGTTACACACAAGTGATACATACCCACATAATATCGCCACGTTACAAGTTCATTTAATCCTAACAAGCAAATGAATCGACGGATCGACGATCCTACGGCTCATTTGCGTAATAAACACCAAGATCCAAGATATACAAGAGAACAAGCTCGGGGTGGCTGAAGTTGCGAGCCTGTAACCCGAGCCCATTCTAACCTCGTGAACGAGACATTACCGGTCCCTCCGTTGCAAATAATTATCGTAATAAAAGCCGGTGATGGCTACACGTTTCTATGACAAGGTCAACGATTGCGTTAAAGCGTCACCTATTACGCGATACGCGCGTTCGCCTGTGCGTGTGTGTCACGGGTTTTGGTGCGACCGGAAGTGATCAAAGGAGAGCGTGACACGAGTGGTGAACAGGAACGATGAACTGGATATCCTGTGTCGAATGGGAAGGTCGACTGAGGCGTGAGTCAAAAGGATGCTATTTCAGCACCTAATGTTCCGAACCAAACGAGGTTTCGCTCAATTTTGCCGTGGGAGTAAAACTATTTTCGAATCTTTCTTGTTTATTGTAACAATTTTCAATTTAATATGTTCAGGAACCTAAAATGTGGTTGAGAATAGCGAATTTTGAGGGCCAATGCAATGTTGAGAATTTAACAGCGAAACGTGAGGCCGTTTATACCTTCGTGTATTATTTCTAACAAATGTAATTTTTTGTATAAATAATGTGAATTGTTTTTCTTTTCGTTCGCATTATAATAATATCAACTACTAGTGAATTTAAATCCCAGGGAAATATTGAGTCTTTAATAGCGAAGCGTGGGTACGTTTGAACCTTCATGCGTCATTCCAAAATACAATTTTTTGAACAAACTTCTTCGTGAATTGGCTTTATTTTCTTTCGAATTAAGATAAATAACTATTGACTTGAATTAGTTCTTGGAAACTCTTGAATTTGATGAAGTTGTTAAGAACTTGGGACAAAATGGCCACAGTCATGTCCGAGGGTTATAAAGCTATTATTTGTTCTCTGCATTCATTCGGAATTTTAAAAATAATTCTGTGGGATATTTCAACTGGGAGATCTGCTGGGTCCTATTTGTTTTGTACATTCATTCGAGAATTTAAAAAATATTTCTGTAGGATGTTTCAGTAGGAATTCTTTCTAATGTCGTTTATTTTCTTTTAAAAAATAGAATTTTTCTGGTGAATTTACATAAATAGCTTGGTATACAGGGTGTTCCGCTTAAAACAGGCTACCTAAATATCTTCTCCATCTGTGATCATACGAGAAATATATTTTACGTAATTTAAATAGTTTCAAGAGACGAACCAGATGGTGGAAACAATTATATAAAAGAGTTTAAAATTTGTAGAGTTCAAGGTCATACTATTATACATGGATAAATGCATAATAATATTGACTATAACATATAACAGGAAAAATGATGTGCATATACGTAAAAAAAACAGGGGTGATTTTGAAAAAACCATTAAAAAATAACATTTATAAAAAATGTTCGCCGCCATCTGATTGGTCTCTTGAAACCATTTAAATTGCAAAATATTTCACGTATGATTACAGATAGAGAAGATATTTAGGTGGCCTCTTTGAAGCGGAACACCCTGTATATTATTTTGAGGTTGAAATATATAGGATTTTTTAAGTAAATTGTTATGTTAATACATATCAAGGATTAAATATTTCAGTTTGGAAAGATTAAAATCCATATTACGAATGGCCTCTAAACCATAACACAGTATCAGCCCTTTTTCTTAATCCGCTATTGTTTTTTATTTAAAATTTTCTAACAATGATACACAATTCTGGTTCTACAGTCATTTTTTTCTTCAAAGAACACTGGAAGTCTCCTCGAACTGAATACAACCTCTCATGGTCGTGTGAAGCTTTCGTGGACAATTAAAATGCTCGTTCCGTATCGCGGTATTAATTTGTCCGGGACTTATTTGCTGAAACTTCAGCCTCGAGACAAAGGATGATTATGTAACACTTGGCCGCACGTTTTACAACGCATAATTATTCCCAAGCGACAACTGAGGAATGCGATTCGCGATGTGTAAGTTGGCGATGCGTCGGATCTTCCGAGCGGAGCGTTTTCTTTTTACGCCGCGCGAAGCCTTTTTATCGTTTCTTTCGCAAGTCGGGAACGGTTTCTACGTTATTTCCGGTTTCAGGTGGGAGGGGAACGATTTTCACGGAATATGTACCTTGTGGCCGCTCTACGTCAGATTTAGATTGCCGCTACAACGTGACGGGTGGCCATTAATTACCGGTAATTAGAATCCTGGAGCCTTGAACGTCTGCCATTTATCATTTACGTTTTCATTGTCACGTTCGTTCCACTTTTACCACGGTTCCTTCTGAGACTTTTAATAGAAATAGGTTTTGTGAAGATGTTTATTTTCATACATAATATTTAAATAAAATGTAATAATGTGTACTAATTAAATCTTTTCGTCTGTTTCAGGAACTATGCAATCGGCCAATATTTGTGAGCGACACACCAGCCCAGTTCGACGTGATACCTGGCAAAATGGGTAAGGAAATTTCAAAATAAACATATACGCGCCATTAATAATTATCAGTTGGGTTAGTAAAGATTTATTGAGTAATATTACACTTGATGAGCTTTATGGACGAGAAACCTTAGAGGTCTATATGTCCTTTTTTAGTAAAACCTTTTAATTAACCGTTATACGTCTAGAAAACTTCCCGCCAAATTTTGTTCTAATATTCCATCAACAGAGGCCAGGGCAGCGCTTTTTGTTAAATCAGTTGATTGGTAAATTAGCTGAATCTTCCAATGCAATTTATTTAATTCACCATTCTATCCTATGGGCTGCTTCGCCAGAAAGCTCCTTAATTAAATAATCGTTCTCATAATCATACGTACAAGTGCTAATGAGAGAAGATATAATTTGATATAATTAATCCATTAACCACCATAGACCTTATTTATGAGTCATCAATACATCATTTTTGTAAGTATATCATTAATTACAGATTCATTCATAAGTTTCACGCCTTCTGTTAGATAAAATTCTTAGACGTAAGTATTGACAGAAATAAGAAATAAATAGCTGTCACGTACTCGATGAGTTTCTCTTAACTGGAATGAGCTTGGGATCGAAGCGAACGCAAAAAAGGAAGACGGAAGTTGTTTACGACTCAGCCTATTCTTTTTTAACGCAACAAATTATTATCGACATTCCGTGCATTCCTCCCAGATCATCCACGACCGCGACAAAAAAAATAATTCAAGAGATAAAACGAATGAGGAAGAACTCGAGAAATAAGACTAACATCGGACGTTCCGGTCTCTCGGTTTCCACTTCATCTCATCTCCGCAACGCAGAATCCCGCGATAAAACATAATACATAATACGGTTTGAGCATTATTCTATCACGGTTGATCCTTTAATTCGAGCTTAGTTCGTGAATCTTGTGAAATATTCACCTAAATTTTATAAATTCTTGTCAAAATTTCCGATAAAACCTGTTCTTTAACAAAGGAATTATCTTGCAAAAACAGACTTTCAAATTAAAATACTTCCAAGAATTCACGATTTATACAAGGAAAACATGAATTTTACTTTGCCTAATAGAATTCATTCAAACGTCCGTATAGTACAAGTAGGAATCTACTACTAGAGGAATCCGCCATTTTGAATGCAACAAGCGAACATAAACACAGTAATTTCCCGACACAATGTTTCGAAGTGCAAAATTATACCGCCACGAGAATTGTTTTGCAATTCGAAATAAATACTACCTGTCGTGTATGGGGAAAATATAAACCGAATAATTGAATAGCCGTGTGTGCTTATGGCACACTTGGTACGTCTTTCACGCGGACATCGAGCCAGGCAATTCACCCGGCGCGTGTAACAATGTTATTACCGGAAACGTGAATCGGTACGCTCGTCGACTTTTCCTATGAACGACCTCGAAATCACGGTAAACCCTGAAACCGACACCGGGTAACCTTTTGACGAACGTGGGAGATGAAGCGTGGTCGTTACCGCGGACGCCTTTGGTGCCTTTGGGTGCCGTTACGAGCCGCCACGACTTTCTTCGAGCGAGTTCGATCTGTGAGAAACACCATCGTCTACGATACATACGGTACCACCGGCGATTTAATTAACGAATAGGTGAACGGTGTTGTGTGATAATCGTACGGTCACCTCTTACATCGACATTTTTGCATCATTCCGAAAGAATGCAGCCAGCTCCGGGGTTCTCAAAAGTGGAAGATCACACCAGAATTCCGTTTACTTTCAGTTATACGCTGACGACTTTTAGTTTCTTTTCGAACGCGAAGTATATATTCGTAATTACAGCTGCTGCTAGCGATAACATTATCGATAAATATCGATAATATCGATAGTATTGTTAAGACATCGATACGTTAAATTGAATTCAAAGTTTTCTTAATAATAAAATACACAGAATTGTATTTACACTTCGAGTGGAATGTGTTATGAGAACTTTCCTTTCGCACTTCCCTACTTCAAATTTCTAAAGAAACACAGAAAAGTAATCAAAACAAATTGTTGCCTCTGGCTCTACAATATTTATCCATACCAGCTGCTTCTGTTCCTAGGGGTAAGACTATTTTCTAATGCAGGACAAATAGTATCAGACAGAAGAACAAGTTTACATCCAAAACATATCAACATGTTATTTGTAATAAGTTGTAACAAAAATAGTTAGACCTAACAAAATTACGCATTATATTATCGATAAAATCGTGTTCAAAATAAACATTTATTATTTACTACCAAAGTAGAGGTTACATTTCTTGTCCCTTTATTGCTTTAAACAGCCATACATTCTTCTTTCTTGTATCTTTTAACGGCAATACTATGCTCGTTGTATTATCTATTAAGAAAATATATACATATAACAGAAGTGAAATAGAAAAAAAATTGTTTACAAGTTTCCTATGATTATGTATAAATAATCCAAGACTACGAGACTCATGTGGACTCTGCTTAAGCTCAGAAATTACCGGTCAATTTAAAACGGACATTTTATATATCTTCAAAAATTGTCTTTACAGCTATTTACGGAGGAAATAAGTTTCCTGCGCAATTTACAATTTCAGCTAGTTGAAACTGTAATTTTAAGCGTATGCAAATTTACGTGTCTCTATAAAACTAAATACCTATTGCATGTGTTCACCAGCACTCCTCGTCATAATTCAACGTCCATGGACAGCGTGTTACTATTCACTTATAAACACAAGAGTCATTCCCCATAAAATAAAACACGAGAATGAACTTTTTCTGTAAACGTTTACGACCCTCCAGGATCGTGAAAGTAGATTCAACCTCCCCGTACAGTTCCGCCGCTTAATAAACCGTTGATTACCAGTAACGTTCAATCTTATCGGCAAGCCACGGCGTTTAAAAGGATATTAAACAACCGGTACGAGAAGCTAACGTCAAATCGAATTTAATAAATACATCATATTCGATTAACGCGACGTCAACGCCATCGGAAGGGCGAGAGTAGTTAATGGCGTAACGAACGGACGCGAGTCCAATCAACTGTCAAGTTTATTATACACGGAAGCGTGCGGGGCCACGAGTTCCGAGACATGTTCCAGTTGAAACCGTCTGCTTGTATATTAAACATCTCGACGATTTTCATATTTCATCTTCTATGCGTCGTCCGCGATGTGGGCGTTAATGTCCCCGTCGCGTGATAAAATGGCCGCAATCTTTAACGCACCAATTCTCTCTGCAAACGTCACACAGTTGTGCAAAATCCCAAATTATGACAAAAAGTCGTTTCTTGTTGAAACGTCATTTTAAAATGGTAATTGTGCAATGTAGAGGCTTTTCTCAACTTTAGCTATTTTACTGTATTTGTTTTTAAATAGCTTCATTTTATCACTGAAACGAAAAATCAAGCGTTGGAGGTCAAAAAAGTAATTTAGATTTGTTTATTTTTGTTTAAAAAAGGGTGGGAAATTATTCGGAATTATACACTCAACATCGATTTCAATATCCTTTGGATATTACAGAACTCAACATTTCGAACAACTTTTTCCTGTACATGTTAGCGCCGGTTGGGATTACAAGAAATATTTATAGCTAAAATTGAGAAAAACCGCTAAACTGTACAATCACCTAAAAAACTTATGTGACAATATTGAAATACGTCCATCACAGATTACAATATAAAATTTTTTAAAAAACTGCCATAAAAAACAACTAGGGCATTTACCATTCAAAATAGAATTTTTTTCCATTTTTTGTTGTTTTTGCGTTTAATCCTTGGAATTTTCAAGCTTTATCGTAGGTCTAAATACTATTCAAGGCGATAAGTACTTTACTTTAAATTAGACAAATAAAAAAAGACACAAATCTGTATACTAAGCATAATTTTTTTTTTTATACAATTAAGGTCCTTCAAATCCCACCGAATTTTTTTCTGTTACAACTACACGTAAATATAAATACTGTAATCCAGAAAAAGTCTGCGACTTTCTGCGACCTTCCTAGAAATAAGGTCACAAAGTTTTTGAAACAATATCGCAATTTCTACTACGAAAACATTTTTGCAATTTTTTCCGCGTTTTGGGGATTTTGCACACTGTACGTCGTATGCGTGCAATCTCGTGTCCGAAGAATTACGGCGACGCCAAGTATAGACTGGACGGTGGAATGCATCGCGAGCTTAATCTCTCTGGTTAACCGCCCCGCTTGGGAGCTGGTGTGTGACTCAACGGCGCGACCAGCGTCGTCGACGGAAGTCGTGCGATCCGGGAATTCGTGCAAACGCATTCCATGAAGATGCGCCGTAAGTACACGCGGCGGGACCGTGTGTCCCGTTAACGCGCGTGAACACGCAAGACCACGGACATACGACCAGGGACAACGACACGTGATCAATTTTTTCACGACCCACATTACCGACTGCAAAGCTCCTGATGTTTCTCGACTCGGTTTTTGGAGTTCGACATGGGAACGGAATGATTTTGGGCCCTACTAATATAAATTTACATTCCTTTAAAACAATTACAAAATAAATGGTTAACAAATATTTTCTTCTAACTACTTTTGATTAGGTACTGTTATGTCTCCACTATAAGCATCCACAAAAGTCATTTTGATAAGTTTATTAGTTCAACAGATAATTCATTATTCGACTGCGTTCACTTCAATTAATTTTCATACGGCTAATTTTAAAGTGTCCATACTTTTGAAGTTATGACCATAAAGAGGACAAATAGGGCTATATCCTCATTTTTTCAAATTTTAAATAGTTCGACAATATAAAAACACAGATTTATTTAAAACAATTGCGCAAAATAAATGGTTACAAAATATCTTTTTTTAACTGAAATATTTTTTATTTCGTACTCTTATGTCTCCACTGTAAGTACCCGCAAAGTTAATTTTGATCAGTTTGTTGGTTCAATAGTTATGATTTATTGAAAAAAGGTTGACCCTAAATTTCAAGCAGTTGTAAAATGTATAATTTTTAAAATTTTCAAAAATCCTTCAAGATACGGTTATATATCGAT